CTCGGTCGACTATAAAAAAAAAAAAATCTTCACTTTGTTGACGTGTGCGGGATATGAAAACCAATTATATAAATTTATATAGCCTAATTTAATGAATGTTTTTCTGAAAATGGTAGGCCTTGCACCTCATGAAGAAGAAGATCAAGGCTTTGTCTTTGTTCGAAGAAGGAATGCCCCACTACAGGAATCTATTATTCCTATTCCGCTCACAGAAACGCCAATTATAAAGAAAAATCAAGTAATTAGACAAAGTAAGCGGCGTTCGAGTATAGAAAAAAGAGGCAAAAGAGCGTCTTCAATTGGTAACGGATTTGTAGGTTTGTAGATACTGGTATATTCTCACAATTGCATTTGAATTGGATAATAGTTGAACATACAAATGAATCAAAATGTAATATATCCAGCCAAACCACATCCGGATGTGAATTCAAATGAATTTTTTCGTCATATTCAGGCGGAAATGCCGGAACCGATAAAACTCAGACAACTTTTGGTATGGTGTGGACAAAGGGCTCTAGATAAGCAGATTTCAGCCGATGAAAATGCACTGAAAATTGGTAAGAACGATATAACATTTCTTTCTGTTTTCGAACTAGTTATCTTATTCGGTATTTATTTAAACTTTTAAATAGCAAAGATCATAGAGCAGGAAGTATTGAACGATTTAACCGATGGCAAAATTAGTACGTCATGGTATTATCGACAGGTATCGATATATGATATGCTTTTTTTGAATGCATTTTTTTAATAACTGCCTTTGTGCATATTTACATTTGTTATCCGATAATAAATTGGGCTGCACATAAAAATATGTAGAATGGACAAGAACCTTTAGAGAAAACTCTTCCGAAAAAACCACACCCACAAAATATCGTAAATCAGAGGAAATTAGAAGAGCATGAAGCAACTTTACGAAGGTGAGAAGGCTAGATCTTGTATCATTGTTGCATTTATATTTGTAAACAAAATATCATCTAATTTTTTTCAGGTTGAAAGCAGAATGTGAAGAATGGACAAAATTGGTTTCTGAAATCAATTCTTTTCATGCATCAGTTGTCAATGTTGCATCATCAATTCCTTCGGATGAAGGCAAAATTTCTATGTTACCTGATGAAATAGACATGTCTTTCCTACCGGAGGAGCAACATAAATTTTTATTACAATATTGCAATGAAGATGAGAAAAATAAAATAAATGACTTAGAAAAAATAATTCAACCTCTTGAAAGTCAGGTATTTAATGTTATATTTAAGGATAGAGGTTATTTCTTATGTTTCACTTGGTCATATTTGTACTTTTATTCATTTAGCTTGATCATATATACCATTTCTTTTATCATGCGTCCAAATTCAATACTGCCGCTCAAATTTATTGCGAGAACTTGCATCTTAAACTTTCATCAACATTCTTACGGAAGCAACGATTGGAACGCGGTGAAATAGAAACAAAACATGTGTTACAAGCTTTTTCTCGCATTCGATAATAATTATATAGTTTAGGATTGGTTTAGGTT